ACAGCCACACGGAAAGATGTGTGGTGCAGTAATTTAATTATTATAATGTATTCTCCCTGGCTGCTTCCTCATCGACCGAATTTCCCTCATGGACATACATAATGCGATACCGAGAGAAGTATCCTTAAAATGCGCCACAGCAAGAGAGAGAGAGAGAGAGCAAGTCAAGAGCTTAGGTGAAAAGGTAGAATGTGAGTCAGGATTTCATAAAATATTCTATTAGTACTACATAATTTCTCTAGGGGAAAAATTATCCTCATTTTGCGGATATCTTTGCTTATAATAGCAAACTCACTCTTCATTCTCATCACAAAATTCCACATCACTACCATTTTCATTCAAAGTCTCAAGATTCGGCACTTGGAGGAGATTTTTATCCTGCAAATTGCTATCTTTTGGGGTCCCTTCAATTTCCCCTTGCTCCATTTTTCACCAACAATACTTTGTTCTATGGAAAAATCACTTCACAATCTTCAAATGATAGTGCGAGCACAGATTATTGCCACAGCTGCAAACGGTGAAATGGCAAAAACGTCTAGCAACCACTATAAATACCCCAAAGAGTGGTCACTTGAGTGGTTTCCTCAACACAGAATATTCCAGGCATACCTGCAAATTTGATTATTATGTGCGGATTCTTCACCATTGAAATGCTGTGTTTTTGTAAATACAAATGTGGCATACAGCAAAGGCAAAGACATACGCAAACAGAGGACATATGTAAGTTTCTTGTGTAGGAAAAGACGTGAAAAGCATTGAGTGAAGAACGTGAAGAAAAAGAAAATCACAAAATGACCTCAGTCACGTGCTCATGATACCAGATTAAAGCATAGGAAGGTAAATAGAAGAACAACAAGAGCATTTTCGATCTTTTTTAAGTCTTTCAAGTGCCTCTGACCTTTCCTCACGTCTCAAGAAACATTCCCTTCATTTAAGAATATTATGAAAAGGGAAAATGGACGAGATAAAATTGGATTTATCCACCACTTCAGGCCAACACACACAATGGCAAGAGTTGTAGCCCAAAAAGAATTTTCCTCCACTTGAAACTCGTAATTTTTCACTGCAAATTGAATTTTACCATAATACAATGCAATTGTTTTTCCTTTTTGCGCATTGTGTCAAATCGCAAGAAAATCAATGCCATGAAATTTGGCCTCGGATCTGGCAGACCATTGACTCACTTCTAGCATTAAATGCAAATATAAGTCGTAGTTCCATTTTATTGACATAGTCGTAAATCAAGAAAAGTGCAATTCAAAATAGATGAAAAGTGAAAATTTCCACATACTACGTCTTAAGCTTTTCTGTTACCGTGCAAAACAGTCGATGTTCACGGGAATTTTGCAATGCATATTAGAACTTATGATGTGCTCAGCATAAACGACTTTTCACAAATGATCCTTATAAACTTTATATGCTGACATTCCATCTTTCAAATAACACGACGAAGTAGGAAGCTTAAATTTAATGCCTTCCTTGCCTTGGTTATATTGCCGCCAAAGGATCCCAGAAATTTACTAATTATTATTCAAACAATTATTGATTAATTTCCCATCATTTGCATACATAAAACATGCACGCACACTACATATATTCTATTTACCACCTCACTATTTGCATATTGCAAATCAATTGAATTCATTTTGGTGAAAATTTAATGAAGCCTTCACCAGTTCACTGTATCATTGCACATTTTCCATTTATGGCTAAAATCAAAGTGTCAAGAAGTGAAACATATACTTTGAGACTTTGACAGCATCGTAAAATCTTAAAGCCACTTTCATGCCACATAATTCGATATGAAACTTCTCAGGCGTTTCGCACTTTACAAACTAAACTTCTTCATTCAATGCGTAGGTTTATCACTGCATTATCTCGAAGAAATTCTTTTCCACCAGCGAATGTGTCTCATCAAATATTACTCAAAACATAAAATCTTTGTTTAATCCTCCAGAAAAGCGTGTCTTTTACCATATTGCGTGACGTCATGGCGGCGGGAAAAATGGAAAAGCAGGGCCAGAGAATACAATAATTGTGAGTACGCTCATAAACAACAATGTAAGATGAAATGGCATTCGCCATATAGAATGTGGCACAAAATTTCCGCAATAATTTCACAGAGGGTAAGAACAGCGGCCGCACGGTGTGAACATTGGCATGAGCGAGTTGCACGAGTTTGGAGGCAAGTGAATTAAATGGATGGCGGTGGGTTATTAAAAGATGCAATCACTTTTGTCATGTCATTACATCGCTGCCACATAACATGATGGCAACTCATGTGGAAAACTCACTTTGGATGGAAGAGAAGAAAATTGTACAAGGAATGCAGTTTGATGAAACTTTATCAACCCAACTTTGTGTACGTCCCCTCAAGTCATTCTCTTCACCCTTTTCTCGTAAAATTCCTCCCCTTCTCACAACACACAGAACACCTCCGCTTCTGAGGCCAGTTTTAATCTATAGCCGAGAAACGTGGTTGAGGAAATGAGAGCGAGAAAAAAAAGAGTAAACGACTTTTCCGAGCTTTTTCACTTCAAATCCACTTTTGATGACACTTTTATTCAATTTCACTCCAAGTGATTGTGGCGAAAAACTAGCCACAAAGCAACTTAAAAGTGTTCACTCTTTAGCCTTGTCTGAAATATACACTGGGTTCTTCACGAAATTTGTCAGCAGCAACACTCCTAAAACATATGCAAACTCAACGACCAACCGTGTATTTGTAGTTCGACAGTGTCTATGAATGATAAAATTCAATATTTTCACTTCTCTTCCACATCATGTGATGTATTTATTTACCCACCAATTTACATTCACATAATTTACACAAGGCAAATCAATTATTGCGTTCTGAGCCTCACTTCTCTACCATCCGAACCGGATTTCACAATTAATTACACCACCAAATCAATTGATCTCTGGTGACTTTGCCCTCTAATGGCTCAAAGGCACTGAACATCTCTAACATTCTAATGGTTTTCGGCGAGCACACACTGAAGAAACTTGTGTAATTATCTTACACACAAAATCTATATCCATTTGCCTCTCCTCTTTAACGGCCAAATGCCATCCCTTTGCCATCTTCCCACCTTCTCTCCACGTCAACCCTCATTGTTATTTATTATTATTACGCCCCCACGCAGCAAAATGTGATTTTCAATGTGTGAATTTTTTAGCAGAAGAACCATCATTACACCAGCACACACACGATTCGGCAGAGAGATGCTTATGAACTGACTCTCTCACTCTCCTTGCCAGTAATGAAATGGTCACAGAAATAAAATATTCAAAAGTTTGTCACATAACGTGAAGCCACACAGGGAAGCTCTTAGCGAGAAAATTCATATACACACATCCAATTGAGTGATAGTGAAGCAGAGGTGGATGCAAGAGAGTGTCGCAGAACTTCTTCAGGAGAGATGATGAAATTAATGTTCAATGTCAATAATTTCCGAGTGCTTTGCCAAAGCGCCTCGTGCAAACATCTGCATTCAATTGCATACAAATTGTCAAAGCCGCAAGCGACTCAATCATGTGATCAGAAATCGTTTGCAGGGCACAAATTTGAGGGTTTTCTCTTCTTTTCTTCCACCATCAGAAGGATGATAAATTTCTCGCTCGCTCTCACTCTCTAAAATAAACTCGATGATTAATCAGAAGCGGTGTCTACATCAAATTGAGTAAGACCTTCTATTTTAGAAGATTATTAACTTTTCCGATAGATTTTCTAATAATCTAGAGATAGAGTAAAACTAGAGTAATGAGCAAAGCTTCTCCGGGAAACCATTAAAGTTCCTTGACTTTCCAAACTTAGGCAATTAATTACCTCGCATCTCCACCCTTCACTATCAATTAAGACTTTGTGTGTAGTTCTCGAGGAAAACTCACCTTCCGCCGGGAATTTGATGTGTGCTCCTGGTCAGCTTCGAGGGCAGTGCCGAGCCCTTTCCGGGCGTGATGCTGGCGTTCCCCAGAGTGCTTTTGTACGCCCCATACTCAGCCGGGAGCTCGGACACAGGCACAATGCGGTTCTTATCGAAATTGGTACGGAAAGCGGCTGGCAGGAAGCATCGCAAGGCAGCGGGTGGACAGGAGGGCATCTGGACAGGGAGAGAGACACACAAGAGGGATTACAAATGAAAAAAAAATTACCGGAATAATTGACTCTATTGCCGTGAAGCACGGAATATCAATTTGAGTGTTCCCACACTCGCAGATATTGCATGACCAATCAATCATGCCAAATTGGCGACTTATCGCCTCTTATCACCTCTCGGGAATCCATAAATGCTGGGACGGCGATAAAAAATGTGCCGGACAAAACAAAAGCACATAACCTCACAATGATTTCTGGTTGAACCGAGAAATTTCGGCGCCCATTTGCGTATTTCTCTCAAATATCGCATATTAATGCTTAAAATAGACTCATCCACCACAATATTACACTTAGACAACCTATTTTTGTCACAGGAAAAACTTAGAGAGTGACGAGAGAGCGAAAAATAGAGAAAATGCATGGCAGACAAACCTCTTTGCCGAGAGACATGGCCAATTTTGCACACTACCGTGTATCTCAGGTGCGTCAATTAATTGTACAATACACTTCATCTATTTAGTCAATTCTTATCAGCACAGATAACGCAAAAATATGTAAACAGACAGCATAAATACGAATCAGAAAATATTACACACCAAAAGGAAAACATTGAATGACAATTTGATCACCATGTCGGTAAGGCAGTGCAGTTTGTCCCAAAAAACCGCCATATAGACTTTCGCGCCGGGTCGCGTGAATTTGAAATCAACAATGAGATTTTCAGTGCGATCGTGATCGTTTCTGTTGGAATGTGAATTCTGCTAGCTGGAAAAGATGTAGCATTTTCCCTCTGGAAAGAACATACAGAGAATCCTTTCACTGAAACCGGCTGAAACAGTAAACGAGTCTAATAACGACATGTCCAATGACAGTCCAATTGAACTCTAATTGGGTTGTCCCAGTGAGTTGCGCTGTCAAAACAACATTCTTAGAGTGGAGCTTTGTTATTGTTCGCAAGAATCTACCAAAAAGGGAGATTTCCCGTGCGAAAAGTAGTGAGCAAGCCATCTAATTGCCACAGAGACTGGTCAATTATTGTGTTGAAAGGGTAAAGTACATGAGAAAGCGCTTAATATCAGTGGAATTCCTCGATTATTGAGCTCCGCATTGCAGAGAAAACAATGTCCCATACGATTCTGCTCGTTCAACCGGGAGCGCGCCCGGAAACGCGCACTTACAGCGACTACGAGAGCGTCAACGAGTGCATGGAGGGCGTCTGCAAAATCTACGAGGAGCACCTCAAGCGGAGGAACCCCAATTCGCCGACAATCACCTATGACATTAGCCAATTGTTTGACTTCGTGGATCAGGTGAGTTTTGTCTGTTTTTCCCGGACTGTCGAATTCTCAACGCTTCCTTCCGTCTTTCAGCTCACGGACCTGAGTTGCTTGGTGTATCAAAAATCCACGAATACCTACGCGCCATACAACAAAGAATGGATCAAAGAGAAGATCTACGTTCTGCTCCGTCAGGCGGCCGGTAATTCAGACTGAGCTTCCGGACGTTCAGTGTGAACATTTCACAGCTTGCGTGACTGCTGAAGTTGATACATTTTAAGGATCATTTTGTACGTCTCCTTAAGATACAATATCACACACGATTCTCTCCTCATTAGCGATTTTATTTTATTGCATTCTCGTGAATTCATCTCACAATTCGTGAACGCTGGATGAGGAGCTTTTTCATTTGTAAACAGGAGAGAAAGAGAAAAAGATTTTCATCCCATTATTCATTTGAGAATATCACTCGAAATAAACATACTTGATTTACTGTATCTGTGAACTTTTGTCGACGCCAATTGAGTCACAATATTGGCCATCAGCAGCTGATAATATCGATTGAGGCGCAACGTTTCTCCACAGAGTTTATATATTAAATTTTCAAGTGGAAGAGATTCAAGGGCAACGAGTCCGGAGATCGATGTGAAGGCTGTCACGGTCAAGTTATCGTGAACTTTTCGCTGCATTCCACCGGCCAGAGGTCCACAAATCCACATTCGTCACTCGCTGGCCCACTCGCCGCTTTTCTTCCTCCCGCGGGGCATCTGAGAAAATCGCCGCGAACTTGCGCAACTCAATTAGAGGGCAAAAGTGAACCAGAGCGAAGGTGCAAGACCTCTTTCGGGGAACTGCAGACGACCAGAGAATTTGATCCCAGAAATATCGTTCATTGAACTCACGCGGAGTGGAAACGGATCAGCCAAAGACGATGCTTCCGTAAGATTTTTTAATAAATGCATACTAAAGTCATTAACTAATTCCGAATGCGAAGGTCGAGTAAAAGTAATTTTCGGCAGTTTCACTCGAGGCCCAAATGAGAGTTCATCAAACACGTTTGACATTGTAATTCTCCAAGACATTTTCCCAGACGGAAAACGAAAGGAATGAGCCAAGATTTGGAAGAAGATTCTACTTTCATAAAACACACACGCACCAACACACACACAGAAGTCATCAGACGAAGAAGTCATCGTAGCACACCTTGATTTGGATGACAAAGAGAGACAAGAAGACATCTGTGAATCCATAATTGGCAATCACAAAATATTGATCATAGCGTTTCTTGCTCAAAGTCCTTCTGGACTGCGTAGAGAATTTAATGAAAAAAGGCATCCGGAACAAATAGGTACAATTACGACATTTCCTCATTGTTGACTGTCGCTTGATGATGGAAAAAAAGCACAACAGAGAGAATGAAAAACTGTAGACCCAAAAATACCAGCTAAATTTGTACACAACTTTAGCATATTGTTAATTGTTTTGATGACGAGCAACTGCGATTACGTGTCTCGCGAAGCTTTGAATTTCACATGAGCATTTAACCGCTCGCTGCCCACCGTCAACCGAAGTCTAGCGACTTGTATTTGTCCAGACTCTGTCGAAGCTTTCAGTCCTAATTTCCCAAGATTAGTCTCAACATTTCGGGGAATGCAGGAAAATTAGACACTTTCTTGGTTAATTCCTAGCTAAATAATAAATTAATGGAGTTCCATTTGTTATAAAATAGGCGCAGGGAGGAAGGATTAAGCGACAGGTGTGATTTGAAGCATTTCACAACTGGTCACGGGTTTTATCATTGTATGCAATCAGGGTGCGATAAATTTCCAATGAACTTCCACCCATTGCAGTGTCCAACAGTAACTGCTGCATATTCAAAGAGTGCTTTTGCAAATTCCATCAGAACATTTGAAGCGAAACTACAAATAAGTCATCGCATTTTGCATCGCACAACTGATGCTGATTATTTTTTCATCGCGCGAATAAAATCAATAAACGCCCCTCTTTTGCTGTGCTTTAATATTTAAACAGCGCGCGAGTGGCTCTCGACTTGGCCGTGATGTCAGCGATGGACAGAGTCTCTGTCCTTGCATAAGGGCACGGCCTAATCGGGTTCTCGCGACGAAGCTCTGCTCCAAAACTGACGTCGCCACGCGATCAAGGTCACGTGTGGTCTCCAGACCGCGATCTCGCGAAGCTGCGATCACACATTAGTGCTGATCATCACAGCCTCTCCGTTCCGAGACTCACACGGAGTCTCGACGCAATTATAATAGAAATAATTGTGCTGAATGCGCGCGTTATTAATTTGATTGGAGGTGAGATATCGAAGCCTTGACGAGAGTGCTTCTTATTCTCAGATAGAACTGCACACAAAACTCACTCACAATTCGCAAAAGGAGTCTTTCAACACTCTCAACAACACAATTCTCGCCAGCTTTCATTTGCTAATAAAAGAAATTCACTAATTGGCAATAATTTCTCTAATTTTTCACATACATAAAACTCACGTTGGAGCATCAGAGTTTTCACGCTTTGCCCGCCTTGCGCTTCTTTCAAATCAACAACAGCGCACTTATTTACAAAATATATCTTTTTATTCAATAAACTCTTCTAGTCCACATTATCTCACCTCATTGATGTATCCTTTCCCGCGCTTCAGCCCTATCCACTTCATATTCAACCTCCACTCTTGGTTTCGTCTTTCGCGCCCGAACAAATTGTCCCTTGATCCTGGATTTGGCGCCACTCGGACCCTGAATGTCCTGCAAGAGAGTCACACAGCACGGAAGCGAGAATAAAGTATTCAGTTTTTCAACTCAAAAAAAAGACGACAAACACACATAAAACAGTTTCAATTACACACGATTTTTTTTCTGCTCTCAAGAGCGCAAAAAGGTGTTCGCAACACACAATATCATTTCACTGCGCTCCACGGCGAACTAAAGAGTGTGTTGTTTACCAGTCGAGCGAGCACACATCACACAGTGTGTCGTCCAAGAATGGAATATGAAGCAAAGAGGGAGAATAGTGCGAAGAACTTCCATGCAAATCACATACGAACACGAATTTTTGAGGCAAAAGAAAACTTTTGGGGAATAGAAAAGAATTTGCAAAAAACAATACTTTATGGGAGGCTCAAGAAATTTTTGCAAAAGACGTAATTTGCATTGTTACTCGTTGTCGTCATGGTTAATCGATTACTTAATGTGTTCCCATATCTTATTCTTGATGCATGAAGAATTCTCAATGGCATTTTTAGGCAATAAAATACTGTCATGATATATTTATGACTTGCAGAATTAGAATTATTATATACTGAGAAAATACACTTTGGAGAGCTTGTAAAAAGAATGAGATTACGAAGGTGAAATAGAAATGATTGCCGCGTAAAACTAGTTTAGTCGTGACTTTATAAACTTGTTTTTCGGTTCAATTTGGCTAATTATGTTGACCAAGATTACCCGAATAGAGGACAAATTTAACAAGTTCAGCATGAATCTTACCTCAATATCCGAATTCTCTGAGGATTCAAAATCACTGTCAACTTCTGCAACTTCTCGAGCACCAGATTCACTTTCTGCTTCCGAATCCATCTCATCATCATCGTCATCATCATCATCATCATCATCTTCAGCTTCCACGAATTCCGTCTCGAACTCCTTTTCAACTTCTGGCTCAATTTCCATCTCCTTCTCCTCCTCACTCGACTCCTCGTCCTCGTCCTGCTCCTCATCCTCCACCTGTTCACTCTCCAGCGCCTTGTTGAAGATGTTCTGCGGGAAGTTGTAGATGTCCTCGTACGTCCCCTTCTTCAGTCGCTCCAGCAGCTGCTTCTCAATCGCACTGTCCAGCTTCGCAGCCACCAAAGCCTTCACTTCGCGCCTCTTCTCGCGACGCTCAATCTTCCGCTGCAGCGGCACCAGCAGCTTCTGCCGACGCAGCCTCAGTTTGCGCATCCGTATCAGGTATTGCGTGATCTTCACGAAGCGCTGCTTGCATTTTGAGATGATGTACTTGTTCCAGAACAGCAGATTCTCGTTGATTTGATGAATGGCCTTCTCGAAGTTGCGCGACAACTTCACCTTCTCCCACATCTTGGCCGGGAACATCGCCCTCTCGGCTGTCTTCATGTACAGATAGACTATCCCATTCTCTTCCCGGACTGTCGCGTACTGGCTGTTGGCCAGAGGACACGTGTACCGGCCGCACAAGCCCGTCAAGTTGTACTCGTGCCGACAGAACTTCTGTGTCTGCGTTCTGGAAGAAAGATACAGTAGAGATTAGTGGTTCTCCTGGCAGATTCTTCACGGTGAAACTCACGAGACTTTGTGGGAACAGAAGGATTTGTTAATGATTCCCCAAACGACCTGGAAAAATCAAAACACTCAGTTGAGGTTATGATGGCTAAATTATCTATTTCTAATGCCACTTTTGGAGGAAAACAGCAGAATTCTTATTCACGACACTACTCACATCGTCGTGCTGCATTTCTGATGAGAATTGTAGTAACTATTTGATAAATAACTAGAAAAACACGTGAAAACCCGAGAGCATGCACGTGAAATTGTTGTGTGACCCAAAACTGTGTTGCCCGATGCGAAACTCGCAGCATACACTAAAAAAACAGTGAATGCTGTCACTTTCAAAATTATCCGCCCAGACGTTTTCCCAGATTTCTCGAGAGAAAACAAGAATTCATCATTATTACTTTGACACTTTATTTATAAATTTTATAGACATAAGAGCATTCATACATTTTTCTTAAACTTCATCAATTTTCCATTTTTTCCTTATCTAAATCTATTATGTACAAAAGTTAAAATACCATTATTGCAACATTATCTTCAAAGAAAAAGAGGAAAATCCAAGTATTCATTCTTTCTCTTACACAAAATCTCCTGCCATTGAAGAATATTAAGATAAAAAGATTGCTTCAAAGTTCAAAGAAAGATTATTCACTTCAATTTTATTTATAAAATAAAGTTGCAATATTTATCATTGTAGTTTTTCACACGAAAATTAAGTTCTCCTAAGATTTTGCCACCGCACTTCATTGCGCTTCAACTTGAGTTTCCCAAAAAGTCACTATATAGGAAAAAGAATTATTAATTAAAAAAAAATTTGTATAATTCAAGTTACGATAAAATAAGAGTAATTAATTAAAAATGGCCAATTGAATTGTAAAATAGTAATTAATCTGGTTTTGCTCTTAACTTCTTCACATTCTTTAATTTATACTTGTTTAAAAACGAGATCAGTTTATTTTAGTTAGAATTTTCTTTATGTGATCTTTCACTATTATTACTTTCTCTCCTTCTCTCTTTTATACTATTCTCACTTGTGTGTCGTTTATTAAATTATATCTTAAAGGTTTCTTTCTCTTTCTTCTTTTAAATTAAAAGAACTGACACAAGACAAATAAATGATTCTAAAATCACATAAAGTTAGAGTTTCTCTTCTAGACATTCCATCTATTATTACTTTAAGCAAATAAAAAGATCAGGACGTATCATTTTGTTTTCATTCTTCTTCACTTTCTCCTTTATTTTATTAGTTCTTCAACCTAGTTGAGGCAGAATCAGAGACAATCAAAAAAAGGTTACACATCACTAAAAAAAACTACTAATATTAAATAAGATTTCATTTAATTAATTTAAGATTACTTAAAAAAAAGATCAAAATGGCAAAAGTAAAATAGAGGCTCTTTTCTTCTCATTCTATCCTTATCTCATCAATTACTATGCTTCATACTTAACTACAGCTTGTTTTTTTTTTTTAATGAAATTACTACATTGTAAACTCTCCTCGCGCTCTTCACTTTTTTTTTATCTCTATTGTAGAAACGAAAACTACAGGTAGATTTTTCTTAAATAAAGATCATTTTCTAACCTTCGCCTTTAAATCATATTCCTTCCTTCTCTCGCTTTTTTATATGTGCTTTCTTGTTTGTTTGTTTGTTTTAAATTAGCGGTGGGGAGCTAATCTTTAATTAAAATTATAATCATTACTTTTACTCATTTACAAGAATTTCACACCAGACAAATCAATAGGATGGAAATTTGTGCTTACTCAAGTTTATGTGTAGAATTGAAAATTTATTGCATGTCATTTTACCGGGAAGGATTTTTTATGCTACAAGAAAAATTAAAAAGAAAATACACTGAGGAAATTAAAAAAAAAATCCCACTGGAAAATTACAGGAGTTTCAGCAAAAAACTTGGTGTACAGTTTATAAATAATAAAATAAAATTTTCTCATATTGCACCAAAGGAGTTTTCACGAAAAACTGTCTGATTGAATTATTACACTGAGTGTAGCGGCCAAAAATACAATTGAAAAAAAAAATCTCTGAAATTAAAGGATTCATCTTAGGAAATATTACACTTGTTTGCCGTATTTCATTTTTTTTCCTATTTACTCAACATGAAAATGATTTATCTTACTTTTAATAAGAATAGATTTTTGTTTGCCTTTATACACATTCTTATCTACGATTATCATTTCTTTTTCATATAGTTTTTTCCTTGTTTTTTTTTTCTTCTTCTCCATTAAAAGATAATAGATTTATTCTCACGAATGATTTTTCTTCCTTATTCATTACATTATTGTTCTTAGTGATTTTCTCTTTTGCTATTCTCACTTTACTGTGGACTTGTTTCTCTTCTATCTCTTTTTTTTCTCCTTTTAAAATGGTTTAACACGATCTTCCTGGTTGATCTTTCGTAAAATATTTCTCATTTCTCCTCTCGCCTCCACATTTATCCTAATAATACTATATCCTAATGTTGTATTTTGTAGGCACTATGAATTTTTCTCTTAATCCGTCCATTTTAATCGCTTTATTTCCTTGCTTCCTCTCCTTCTTTTGCACATTTAATGCCAACTGAACTACGCGGTGTTTCATCAATTCTGCTGTGAAATGTTTAGCGTCTCTCGTACTTTGTTGTAAATTTTTTTTTTATATTTCTCAACTTTCATTCACTTGCAATGGCTTCTCGCTCTAATTACAATAATTAATAAATTAATTTCATATTGTATTTCTTTTCCATATAATATACATATATCTATTATGTATTATTGTTATTAATAGCATTTTTATTATTGTTGCAGTTTTTTGTGTTGTTTGTTGCAATGATTTTTCTTTGCTCTCTTCATATTCAGCTCATCCAGCATTGCATGTCCGACTTCTTTGTTTGTTTAAAAAAAAATCATTTGATATCATTTTGATTGAAACAAAGCGAGAAAAATCTACTCAAGAATTTTGACGACTCTCCTTATTTATTCATGATCTTCCCAGCGGAAGACTGTGTTGGCAATTTAAAAGCACTGTAAAATGAGTGTTCGAAAACCGTGTGTGTCTGATAAATGGTGGGAAAAACACAAGAGTAGACTGGCTATTGCTGATATTAAATATCATTCTCCACCTTAACCATATCGCCATCTTCACCATCGTGATCTCCAGTCCTGCTGTCGATTGGCTATTCCTTCATTAGACGATAGATATGATGCTGGGCTCCGTGATTGCTCGATGACACCTCAAATACGTACGCAGTACATAAAAGTGTTTCTTGCGTCTCTTTGTTTGACACCACCTTCAGGAAGACAACATAGTAACGGAAGAGAGAGAGAGAAAGAGATTAGTTCGACAATTGCATGATTAAGAGCGAAAATGGTACATGTGTATTGTTTTGAAGAAGGAAAAGAAAACACTTAGCACGAAAGAAGATGCATTGAGTGGTTTGTAATCCATCAAGAGGGGTTTGCAACACTTTTGGAGAACAGAACTCTCTTGTATGCCCAATTTATGACATCCCTAGAGTGGTTTTTGACTGTGATATTCCTGAAAGTGAATAGTTTAGTCAATTTTGATTCATTCAACAGACACTGTCCTTTGCAAACAGCCACTCTCGGTTGCAAACCCCTCGGCGGAATTTCAAATTAGATCACTTCTAGTGAATTTTGTGCAATAACACACCACAGAGTGAAAATGAGAGATGAATAAAAGCACACGAGAGAGAGAGCGTCACTCACCTGTAGTATAGTAAAATTCTCGAGAACACTGTTCATCATGTACTTCTCGGGCAAATGTTTCAGCTTGTGGATGAAATTGATCATATATTCACACATTGGTGACCTATGGATGCGATACACGAAACGTCCATTTTCCAGCCGTGAGTATTCCGTTTCCACCTTTTCCACCACTTGCTTGCCAAATGAGCACACCTTTGTTGAACAGGTGATCACCATATTTTCATTACTTTCATATCTGCAAGTACACAAGTAACATTTATATACAATTGGAAACATGTTACTCAAGTAGCCAACGTCAATCATTCGATAAATGATCATTAGGGGAGATGATTTCTGCTCCGCAGCTCAATTTGTGCTGCAGAGATGAGCACACCAAAATAAAAAAAAACACCGAGAAATAGTGGAATGATGAGCAATATACTCACTGGCTGGTAACACCGTAGAAGGCACCCGTTTCATCTTGAACATTTGTATTGAGATCTGCCCAAAACTTAACTAGGAAGAATGCATTTTGTGGACCCTTTTCGTACAATTCCTTAAGGCCTCCCTTCTTTTCAGGGAACTTATCGTAGATTTGTTTAATATCCACCGACTGAAATGACAAACAGAACGTGATTAATTGCCCATTCATGCATCATGTCTCATTTCTATTCCCCCTTCTCTCACCTCTAGAAGCGGATCCGAATATGTTGGTTGTCCACTTATATGAACAAAGAGATGTTTGTGATATGTCTCGTCGCGATGAAGTTCCATGTACGCTGAAAATTCCAACATTCGAAATTTCTGGGTGGCAATCGCTCTGCCCTCCCACGGGGGCGGCAGCGCGGTCTGGAGTCCACTCTCAACGGCAGCAGACACGGCTGTTGCAGATGGCTTTCCAGTCGGATAGGGTGGCTGAGCGAAGGGCTTGACACTATTCCGGCAAGAGAGAAAGATTTGTGTTAGTTGCACCGTGTCTCAGCGCTGAAGCCAAAATTACTGCACTACACTTACTCTTGTGAGGTTCCAGCCTGCAAACCCGGTTGCCAGAATTGCTGCAAAATGACAGAAAAGGAGAAAGAGAAGAGTTTCATCAGTTGCATGTTGGTGAAAGACACAAATGAAATCCAACAGAATATTAGATTAGGCCTTATCACAGCATTTCACCTTCTCAATTTATTGAATTAACAGTCGAATAAGCATGTAATCGTGACTCTTTACTAATTCAATGACACCATTTCCAATTAGATGCTGTCGTCAGGTTGGAAAACCAATGAAAAACCCATACAGTTTGATCTCCGACAAGCGCAAGAATACGTGAATAAAAATAAATCGGAATAAGATGTTGAATGAAGTGGTTGAAGTCACAGTTGGAGATAAAAAAAAGTACATAATTAATCCAACGCATATTTCGCTGGACTTGTTTTACCCATGTAAGATCAAAACATTTGCTCGGTATAAATTGTTGAAATCTCAATTTCAAATTATCTATATATATATATGTATATACCCACACGACAGAAGAAAATTTACAATTTTTCACCTCTACACAATTCTTTCACAACCCAATCAAATGTGGGTTTCCCAACACTTTTGGTTTCTTATTCCACAAGCACATAAAATGCATTGTCACGCTAGAATTGAAGAATTTTCAATAGAAATCATTGCAATAATAATAATAATATTTTCTTTCTGATTTCCCATCAATCCTCTCCCAGTTGCGGTGTCATCTCTCAACAGCGAAAACAATAGTCACACCACATGGCAAAGAAAGCGAATTATAAAGTGTTATGTGTCTTTTTCTTACCACTTTCAGTTTTGCCTGAACTTCACGCAGTCGTCTTCGCGCCAAAACTTGGATGTGTGAACTAACTTGCTTCCGTGTTCTTGTTTTTCCTGTCCGTAATTTTATATAGCGGGCTATCAGTTCATTGCGACCTGTGAAATACACACAGAGAGAAAAAAAACACTATATCAAACAATTACATCAATTCACCGAAAAGCGAATCAATTTCATATGATGACAAAACATATATTTTCGATATTTTTCATATAAGAAGTGTATGAAAGACCGAGAGCGGAAATGAAAAGAGGGTCAAGAGATTAATTACAAAATGAGGAAAACTGAAGGCTAATCATACATAGTTATAAGTTGGAGGGATAACTTTGAAACAATAAGAAATTCCCATAAATTTTCTCCCCCATTTCACCCCAAAACGTCGGCCTCACGAGCAGCACACACTCCAGCATACAAGCATTCGTAAATAATTTCATCCTCACACCACTATCATGAGAATGCCTTTTCATATAGAAAGGAAAGCCAATGAAAGCATCAATTCACTATACATATCCTTGGTGAGAGAGAGGAGTAACAAAGCGATAGTATCATCAACACTCCTGAATAGAACCATATATACATTGAGCTCTTCATATGCGCAAAGATGATGAAGGAAAGTGATGATGCATTTGTTAATTAAATTTCGTTAAGTCAAGCTATGAAGAGGGAGAAAATTTAGGTGATAAATTTTCTCACTTAATTCTTCATGTCAAATTAATTTCCGCCATTCATTCGCATATACAAAGAAGAAGAAAAAAAAGAAACTCATTCAAAATTAATAGCAGAATTGGGAAAATAACGAAATATTTGACCTTTTCACACTTTGATATTCACCCAACAAATCATATCCCCATTTTTGTCCTTCCTGTCGTCTCATATTCCCTGTGACCTTTTCCGTGAAGCCACTCTAACAATTCACAGAGGAACGCGAAAATCTGTGCAAAATTCCCCCATCCACCTTTTTGACATTATATAGTGCGGATGGAACAACAAAGTATGACAAAGTCTTTTGCCATCCCTCTCTTCTCTGGCACACACTCTCTTTCTCTTCCCCTTCCTCTTCTCACTTTTACCACAGTAAATTTTCCAGAAGCTTGATGACTCCGATGACGACGAAAATTTCACAGCAATAATTCAACAATTCATCCCGTCATACAGTTTGAGAAGAGGTTGAAAGAACTTTTGCCGGGGTTGTTTTTCTCTTCACCCCTTTTTCCCTTTACACTCACACCAATTCGTCATCATCATTCCTCAATGATTCTTGCACAAGAAAGAGTGGAAAAAAAGAAGAAGAAAATCTCTCACTCTCTCGCTGCTGATTTTTCATCTTTTCTCCAGAGAAAATATCCTCACTGACAAAAAGCTATGTACGCCATAGTATATACAATAACGCTGGCGTGGAGGGAAAATGACTCACTCCCATTCATAGAAATTCTCCTTTGTTGATGGTATATTACATGAAATTGTTATACATACAACAGTGTATATACAGAGTGGAAAGCAACCCCCTCGTAAGTCTCTCTCCTTCTCACTCGCATTTTCCACACTTATCCAGTCTCTTTCATATTCTCTCTCTTTATAGAACACGCCTTGTACGTTCACTAATTGCACATTCTTCGCATAGTTTAGTTCCCCTCTGCATCATTCACTTTGGGTACTCGACAAACACTCACACACACATCTGCAAACCCCCTCGCACACAGAATGGGAAATTCTGGCTATGCACAGTATGCTCAGGACCTAATGCGACTTGACAATCGAGACGATATTCGCCATAACATTAGCTAACAATTTCTGCTATTTTATAATACAAAATTTGTATCTCACAAAGCATAAATTTCAAAACTCAAATCATGAGCTTAGTCCTCGATCAACCCTTAAAATTTGCATCACACTCTGCACAAACCGTGCATTTTCCCAAAAGGGTGTGAGAGAGAAATCATGCGAAAAGCCGTGAGGAAGACAGAGAGATTTTCATCACCTTTGTGCTTATATTTTAAATACAAGAACGCCACCAAACACGAGTGAGAGAGCCAGAGGCAACGATTTGAAAAAGACAAACACTCGCTTTCCCATCCCCAACGGAAAAAGCACCACATTGTCATACTGTCGTAGTCTCTCGTTTCTGGCACTCCTCCCCAACTCCTCGCATCTCCCCTGCGTCTCTTCTGTCTCTCTGGGCGAAATTTCACTCTGAAGCCAGGCAAGGATTTTGCCTCTCTTTTTTTTCGGAAAAGTCAAGCGCACAGTATTGTTTTTCTTCTTCTTCTTCTTCAACATTATTATACTCTGCAGCTTAAAAAGAAGCGTGCTCAATTTCTGAGAAGATGAAGAATTTCATCGAAAACGAAGGGTGGCAAAAGAAGAGTGTGTATATAGATATAGAAAAAAAGACTGTAAAAGAAGGAAAGAAGCCCATTCATAAAAGGATATAATGATCCACCTGTAGGGGGCATTTAACTGACACATTTCTCAGCCCACATTCTGGATACGTGAGTCAATATTGAATCATGTGCTTTCACCAAATGACTGATTGCTTCTCACTTAGAATAGAGTGTAAAGTCTGAGATTCTTTTTCTTCCCCTTGCGCAAATAGCAAAGCAAAAATTGTAGTGAATTCACCGCAAGTGTTAAAAATCAGGTCACAAACTTAATGAATTCCTCAGCGTCGAAATGATATTTTCCAAGAAAATCTCTCAAGCATCAAATGTCAATTATCATTTTAAAAGACCTTCGGAGTGAGGCGGCAATTATGTTGGGTGATAAATGCTGCATTGCAAGGCAGTAGGGTGAACCCCATTAGAGGAGTTATTTACCATTTTAGTTCAGAGGAATATTGGGAAAAGAAGCCAGATTGCCATCGTGATTGCAATTTGTCCCAACGTCATTTAACTACTTTCCTGTTGTGGTTTTCACCTTAAGCTAATGACACTCACCGTACATCTTTCCCTCATCGGACAGGATGATTTTTCGCCTTCCACACGGTGGATAAATAGCCAGAGCTTCTTGGAAGCTCTGTTCAATGTCCGGACTCCAAACACCCTCCGCATCGGCCGATGACAAGTCCTTCTCGTCCTGCAGATTATGGCAAAACGGAGAAACATCGTCAGTTAGCATAATGATTGTGAAAAATTATTCCATCAACATGCTAGGCTCGCTTATCTCTCTCTCTCATCTCTCGCACTGACATTGTCCACATTAGAGAAGTTCATGATAAATTAAATTCAATTGTGCCATCACTGAATGACTCCCATACCACCCATTCCCGCCCCCTCCCGACAGCTCCGGCCTTCTGTTTTTGCGCTCGCCGAGCGAGAGATGGAGAGACAAGTGAGAAGATGATGATGGGCCCATAAGGGTATGGGGATACTCTACATCGCTCATGTCCCCAACATCCAAGTGCTTCGAGTCTGAGCCTGCGCCATTTGTGTCGGCCGGTCCCAATGGACCGGCACTAACTGGTGTCCACGGAGACGTTATGGTGGCGGTTCCAACGACACTATCTGCAATTGAAGGGAAAAGAGCACACATTTAGACACAATCTTCTCCACTTAATAAAATGCAATTAAACTCATTCTTATCATTTTCTCTCCCTCTGCTCGCCCTCAATTATCACATCAAATCAACTCAATGGGCAAACAGAGGAATTCCCTCCCATAAGAGACATCAAGATAACTTTTGAGTGCAACTTTACAAATTTCTTTCCGCCCCACACACATCACAAACTCCGTTGGTAATGTGTCTTTTTTCTGTCCCACCAAATTGACTCATAAACCACTCAAGTGGCCATTCTCCGGACACATTAAGGTATACTACACAGTGAAATATAGAATATCTTCCGCCTTCCCAGAATATCATCAGCCAGTGAAATTAGTGCTTAAAATTAAATTAATCTACAGCAGATCTACATTTTCCTCTACTCAACAAAATCGCAATCAATATTCAACCTTTCAGATAGTTCCAAATCCATCTCACAATCTCACACAATATCTTGACATAATTTGACTCTCAAGTTAGCAACGAGAGATCTAAAAGTGGACAGTAGTGGCTTTTAGAAAATGAACGGTCTCAACTCGTCAAAGTTCTCTCTCTCACAGTCTCGCGGCGGTGAAAAACGAGTCACACGCTGTATATAAAATTTTCAGAAACATATATAGTGTAAAAAAGAGAATGAAGCAAGTTCACAGGTGTTTAATATGCAAAGTTGTTATTTCTGGTTTTGGTTTGTTGACTCAAAACTCCACCACAGTCTCACCTATATTTTACACACAGAGTCCACAATAGGTTAGTGCATTGGCACGCCATGCGGTGCAGTGGTCGAGCTTGTATAGACAACCAAGAAAAAAAGGCGAATAAAACTTATCTCCACAGTTGTTCGAGAGACATCTGCATTATCACACGAGAGAGGTGTGAAATTTGCCTTAAGAACACCATTCAATCCAAGTGCCCATGCCCAACAGACACTCGCCGTTCAGTGCTGTTTCCTAGTGCTCTCGAGTGTCCTCCCCAAGAGAGCACCTTCTCGTCATTCTTTTTCTTTTCCAGCTGACGAGCAGAAAGTGTTTTTCCCAAGTACCAAATTACCAAAACAATTTACAGACATTACAATTCACTTAGCCAAGTGGAAAAATCAAAATAATCACAACTCTAAACACATCAGATTAAGCAATTTACACAGAGATTTCACGGGTGTTTTTCAGTGATTTTCCCAAATTGTCCTAAAAACCAAAAATGTTTTTCCAATTTTTGCCACTTTCGCAAAACCCAAATATTGAACGCGGTTTAATGACATGCGGCAGATGATGGATGACGAGCATGATGATATGAGCGCTTTATTGTATAAAATGCGAAAGGAGGTGACGAATGAAGAAAATGGTGTTATTATATAATTTGAAAATTAAACAAGACAACACAATGTGTGAATATTTCGACCGTGGCACTGAATTTATATTTATTCAATTTTTATATAATGTCCATTTAATTACGCGCACTCTCGGCGTAAAATCGAAATTGAGCGTCTCTGCCTAAATAAATGATGGGTGTCTCTATTATAGAGTGCAAAAGCTTAAGTGGTTTTATTGCCTAACAAGATTTCATATTGAACCAATTGAATATGACAGATGAGGATTGCTTCTCTGAATTGATAGCACGGCTCATGATTCTTTATGACTTTCTAATGCCACTTCAGCCAACATATGTCCTCCCACATTACTCATCCTCGTGACTCACACTTATGCCCAGAGTCATGAGAACATAAGTTAACTGTGCGTTTCCTCAAACATTATCAGTTCTTCCCTCTTTCGCAGAAATTGTCATTACAAGACGAGGCGAACATAAAGCAAAATGTCATGTATTTTGACAATTTTCCACATGAAATATATCGTCTTTAATACATTATTAGCACACTGTGAATGTGGGTGCCAAAAGTATGATCATAATACTCGGTGTTTTGTTCGCCACTCCGATGAGATCTCATAAATTTTGCTTGATTGCAATCACATAATAAGCAATAACAAGAGCAGACATACAACACACTCAACTACAGCATTTGAAAATTGCTCTCTCTTTAAGAAAAGTACACACGATGTGTGTAGGTTGGTTAATAATGGAAATTGCATCACAATTTTAAAAGTGTGTAGAATCATATACAAATTGAAATCATTAGTTTTATACACTATTAACCATTCCTCTTCTTTTCGGCTCGCTCTTTTTTTCGTGCACACTTCCACACACTACAAATGCCTCTAAATTGATTTTTGCACACAATGAGCCTCCAAAGTTCACTTATAGACCACTTGAATGCCAAAGATTGCGTTCACCGTGTCTCGATGTTACTGGGACACTTTTCATGTATCGCATTTCAGTATTAATTTCTCGCCATTTTTCTTGCACACTTCCAACATGTGCATTTTCAAACTCATTTGAATTGAATTAATAAATTCACTTCATTCATCCTCAGGATCAGAGAACACGAATAGTGAGTTGATCAATAAAGTAGGACAATAAAGCGGAGGAGGCGATAAGATGAAACTCATAACGCGACACACCTTCGCATGCACAGCAAACTTGTAAATTCCTCAGCCAGCGAGACTCGAGAAATTATGAACTAATTTGTATAATGAAATTTTCCTAGAAATTATTTTTAGAATACCCATGCAAGAAACTTCCGTTTAACACCAGCGAACTTGAAGACATCCCATTTGCCCAATTCGTTCTCTCATTTAAAACTCTAATTGTGCTTCTCTCGGTTACCTCCTTTTTTCCTGTCTTCTCAACAACACAAACTTACAATATAGCAATTATTGTGAACATATTTAAATTACCGCACCGTATGAGTAATTATTTATGGATTTGGATAATTTATGCTTGACACATTCACATAAAGCGCACCAACTTTTCGCGCTCACAACATTTTCTCGGCAATCAAAATGTTGATTGTTGGCATGGAGAGTTCTCTTATGCTTAATAATACACAACTTTGAAATTTAATTAACGGTATTCTGACCACAAATAGATAAAGTTTAATCATGAGTGCGCCACGAATTGTCAAGACTTTAGACACAAATCTCACCGCAGAGACACAATGATCAGATCCTACAGATTTGAGGAAGATACACAGAGCAAGTGCAGAAAAAGGAACACACAAATTGTTGGTCTTTCAATAGACCAAAAACTGGATTTCCAATTGAAATGGCGCATAAACGACCATGATCATCGTTATTTGATGATGGAAGTCTCTTCACTCTCGCACACACATTCACCCATCAAGGTTTTCTCAGAATATACACTCGAAGAGCGAAAGATACTATTTACTTTGGGGAAGAAGTCGACTTCAGCCGACTCATCATCATCATTGGAGGCAAAACTCTCATGGAGCCACCAGAACCAGTCTCAAGTTGCGCCTTTCTTAATGCCCCTCATGCGCGCTTTTCTTCCACCAAACTCACACTCACTCTTGGACGTCGTCGTCTTGTTCTTAACAAAGCTCTTTCTTCACTTTTTTCGCTTTAATTTCATAGTAAAAGAAGTAAAATCATGGTGTGATTTTTTGTATTGCTCAATTTATCTCTCCTCCCATGTATTTTCTTTTACAGACTGATTGTTTTTTTGCCGCTCTTTCTTGTCCTTCTCTCTCCGTATGTTGTACATAAAGATATGTATATGAACAGTTCTATGCTAGCTTTTCTCTTTTTATTTTGAGCCTCCGACGTGCACATAAATATGAATATATAAAACATAATTACATACATTCGCCTGTGTGATACAAGCTATACTCTTCCTCATGTCTTTCCTAGACTTCACAGAGAGACACAATTTTGCTTCAGTCAATCACAATTCATGCTGAAAACTTGTGTTTTCTCTCCTCAGGAAATCCCTAGAAATTTAGAAATCACATCTGAACTATTGCCTAACATTAGAAGTTCTTATAAAATCGCGTCAATACACGGTATAACTTGTTCTTCTCCTGTTTCCGGTTTTTGTACACTCAAATCAAACATTACATAAAAGCTTTCCATATATACCAAAAAGTACTTTCATCTTATTCGTCTTTTTGTCTTCGCTCTATCACATTTAGTCACACACAACGTATGCAACACACACTCACACTCCAGAGTCATGCGAACAACAGGAGTCAGCAACATGAGAATAAAAGATGGGACACGGCAAGAGTTAATCAGAACACACCTTAAGAGATGTAAATGAGACTTGAACGAAAAATTTTGTGAAGAGGAAACGACGATGATATTGATCGAAGAAAGAGGTCTTGGCAGTGGGTAAGTCGTGGATAGAGAGTTGAATAGTGTTGCTCAAAATATGTGTTATCAGCTGCCTTTCTTATCACTATACACTTGATTAATTTGAAAATTGCAAAAGTCAATGTTTCAATTGACATGCAATGTTTTCCACACACCGCTTTTCCTTGCCAATATCTCTCTCTCTCTTTCCCCAATAAGTCATTCGCACCATTGATAGTCAAGCGATACTATCAGCTCGCACAGTGGTTGCAATAAAAATCAGTAATATAAATAAAAATAACAAGTAAAGCTATTATATATAATTCGATCACATAAAAAACCACACTCTATATTCTCAATCACTTGCATTAAAGCCTATATACATATATAATGTATGCTGTTTATAAGTCATTTAACCACTTTGTGTAATTCTTCACTATTACTTCTCTCTCTCTCTCTCTCTCTCTGTCCCTTCCCCCTCTCTTTCATGTCTTCGCCGCACAGAAAACTTGAGAATTATGTACACGGCGCATTATGTAAAATGTTGATCACAGGCAACACAAGCACACAAACAAGAGAGCCGTACAAAAACAGCACAAAAAGTGTATAGAAATATTAAAAGTTCGTGATTGTCTGCGTAGCGCGATCTTTCCTTTCATTCAAACGATGAATCACCCATAGACTCTTGAGTTTTCCCAATAATTTATTACACAATTTATTTACTGTACAAACCACATTGAAAATGCGAATAAAAAAGTAAAGGAAATCTTGTAAAATTCAACTATACATGTCAGGTGAACAAAGAATGAGAGCAAAAAATCAACTGTGTGTTTCTTTTTTTTTATTCAATTAATTAGAAATCATTTGCCGACCTTTCGTTCTAGAAATTTTATACAACAATTATTTCAAATATAAATTTAAGGATTAACATACGTTTCAGAAAAGAAGGTTAATCCAATTCCCCTGTAGTGTCTTTACAACGTGAGTCTCGCTGTCGCTCCACTCACTTAATCCTTGATTGTTTGCGCACAAGAACGAAAATATATGCCTTTTCCACGGAATTCACTTTTGGGGCTCATTCACAAAATCTTATATGTTAAAAATTGCACATTTTCACACAGTTTATTTGCGTCCTGAGCCACAAGACCACTTAAACTGTGCTAAGAGATATTAATTTTTCTCTCCGCCTCGAGCTTCAACAACTTTAACGACATCAAAAATTTAAATTGTTCTCTAAAACATTTTATGTGCCCATGTAAACGTTTGGCACAAACAAGACGAGGAAAATTACAGATGGAATATTTTATTTTCAAGCTATAAATCAAAATATTCTTTTTGCACTTCATACACACTCTGATGCTTTTTCTTTCTCTTTGCGGGAAGTGTCAGTGTGGCGCGTTTTTTTTCTCTTTATTTTATTGTTATTCTAATTTGCACACAAACACATTAGGGGAAAAAAATGTATACACCACGTTTCCCAACAATGCGCCAATCGGGCTAGTTTTAAAACATTTAGCACCACATTTTTTTTTATTACTCAGTCACTCTTCAATATTATACTTTTTATTTCGCCACCACACTTTTCCACACTTTGCTGCATGAGAATTACTTCCATATTCCTCAAATGCGGATAGCATCAAGCCCACCTTGACAAGTGATGTATTCGACATTAAACAGAAGCGCGAATATTTACTTTTTTCGCGTATCACACAATTATCAAATAAAAATTATCTTTAGCGTCACAACTTTGCGTTGGGCACAAGTATAATAAAACGATCAGGGACTCGAGAACACTCCGTCACCGTCATGCGTTCGCTCCTCAAACACTCTCGCACATTTGTAAACACACTTTGCAGCATACAACTCAATACAGCGCGCCTCGCTGTGCCCCTTCTCTTTCCCACAGACTTCTCGCGTCAATAATAATATAAAATGATCGTAGAGAGCATTTAGTTGTATGTTACCATCGAATAAAATGGGAGAAAAAGGTGCAAGAGGTTTATCATGAGTGGAATTGAGAGTCAAAATCGGGCTAAGCAGATGCGCCAATCTAATGAGCCACATTTCCACCATTTCTTTTTCACAATGGGCGGAGCATACGACTGGGCGGGGCTTGGAAAACACTTCCATTTAACAGAAGTACATTGAATCTGCTATAAACAACCCGTTAAGACCCACAAGAGCTGGGCTTTAGCCGCCTCAAGAGGTAATATAGAGTGAAAGAGATGGAGAAACATATACTAAAAGTAGCAACAAGAAAATCTCTTCATGTGGTAAACTTGTTGGAGCTTTTTTAAACACTTCGCCGTCTCCCCATTTGATCCACATGCCAATGTATTGGTTGAATCTCGACTCTCTGCCATCTCACACTGAATATACGGTGAGTAACACAACAAGAAATCAAGGTTTACAAAGGAGGAAACTAACGGGGAAACGCATTAGGCCCATAGCATATGGAGCTCAGCTTTTACTTGCAAGGCAACTAAACTCTCGATGTTGGTCACTTTAATTACGTAAGGCACAGACGAAGCACAACAAGATACACCCGACACGACATTATATGTACATATTTTCCCAAACCAGTCAGAACTTTTTCACAAGAAATGAGATCAAGCTGAAATCGAAGTTCATTAGAAACCGATTGGGCGATCTTTTTTTTCTCTCTCTCTGACTTCGCGCCACTCAAATAGACGGAGAAGCACGAGATTGAATAAAAACCCAAAGTAGTGTGGATAACTTCAAAAACACACCTCAATTCATTCACCCAATTTCTTTAGGAAAACCATAATTATTCCTCCTATCCGACTACATATTGGAGTCTTAACCCTCTTTTCACAGACATCCCATATCAACAAATCAACCCAGCAATTCAACCACACTCTCACACGCTCATGCATCTTCATCATCATTCAACATTTGAGATACACGGCAGGGCAGGTTATATGGAAACGAGAAAACACCAAGAGAGCTTCAATACAATCACCGTCGTCAACTTTTCACCACACCGCCCGTCCGCGAAATATACACGCTAAGAACCACATGAGAAACCAGTTGGTGGACTCAATATAAACTCCACATATAGAAATTTATATTGGGTGAGCGAGTGAGATGGACGATACAATAAATCAAAATTACAACAAATTTGTACACTTCTTCTTCATCGGGGGCTATAATTTAACCGAAAATCTCCAACAAACCTCTGATCAGAGAGATTGAATCATGCGACAAATGAGTGAAAGAACATGACTAAATTTCATTTCGGCAAAAAGGAAGGTATAATGAAACGCTTTTGACTCATTGCAGCTGGTCAACTGAATTCACTCTCACCTTGCAATAAACATGAATATCAACATATAATGCAGGAAGTTTTGATACACTTTCGTGCACCACACATTATTATGTATTCCCATTCCCAAAAGCAACCCTTTGCTTTTATGAATCTCATTTCAAAAATCGTATATTTCTACCGAGTTAGGGAGTGGTGCTATTGTGAGAAAAAAACTGATACAGTTCTTCATGTTAGAAGAACCCACGCTTGGAATTGTCGATGGTTTGTCGTGTTAGGGAAAAAGGGAGGACAAATGAACTCCTTGTATGTTCTCTCTGCTAGAAGCACTCATTAAACAAGTGAAAAAACTATCATACTGACTCATTATATGTTTCACCAAGATTCTTTACAATTTAGATTAACTCCAACATGCGTCCGGGTAATAATTCTGTGGAAAAACGCAGTCAAAATCCTGAGCATGAGAACAAAATGCAAAGTTTCCCATCAATGAACGTACACCTCCCTCTTCCATTCAACACGAGCATCCCACTAAATTGCGTGTAGATCAGCAATTTTGCCCCGTTTATCTTTCGTTTCGTGTAGTCTCACTTTTTTCACCAATGTCCATTCATGTAATTCAATTTAAAGCATAGCGAAGAGAGACTCTCTCGCGAAAAATTATGATTAATAGCCATTTCTTATGGCCTCCACCACCCACTTTCGCGCGCAAACCACATAAGAAAAATAACCCATAACTCAGCGAATTAGATTAAAAATAATTCCACCATTACTCCTCTTTTTTATGACACACGCCGAAATTGAGACATAATACTTGAAATCATGACAAATTTACCCACTTAATGTGCAATTCAGACACAGACCAAAATAAACTCTCAACAATTCTCTTTCTCTCTTTGCTATGGAGCTCTGTGCTCTTTTTTGCACATTGCGCGTCTTTTAAAATTATCGCAATTTGGGATTTATATTCCCCATTTTGATGATCTTCGCCTCAGACTCTTCTCAGCGTTAAATTGACGATTAGAGGCTGTATTACTTCTTTTACCTACTCTCTTGTGTTGTGTGTGAACCTATTTTCATTTCTCTCCCTCTTCACAGCTTAGTGCCTTCCTTTGCCCAACACAATCATTATAAATTGTACAAATGTTGCTTTAGTCCGATGGGCTTGACAAAAAGAGATAGACAAAACCATATTAAGTGCTCAATAATACTACGCGATGAGCACCACGCGATCTCTTTACATTGGCGAATGCACGTATTAGAGGCCAGGTAGCTGAAGCGCACCTCCATACAAAAAGTCTCTATATACAACACGGCACTCAGATTGAGGCAGCGCAACATGGGAGATTCACACAGAGATCAAGAGCCAGTTCAATGGTGAGGAAGCAGTGTTACTCAATCAGTTGGCAATGGATCAATGGATCGGCCCAGTGCAACGTGTTGCAGACCAGTGTCTTGAATAGCCCTGTGCGATGGAAAAAAAGAAGAGGATAGAAGAAAAATTGATGAAGCTTGAGAGGAAGCAGTGAATAAAAAGGTGATTCAGAAACCTGTTCACCATTACAAAACACCATCGTCTTTCTCTTGATCTCCACACATAATAACCGGGTCAAAATAATTTTTTCAGCTTCACTTCACAAAACTGCATCACACGTTTTGTATTCCCTTTTGATTCGCGTGTATACATAATAATTCTTCTTATCAATTCCATATACACAGCATGCGCGCACACACAAGTGCAAAAACCCTACAATTGAAAGATCGAAGAGGCCAACAAAAAGTCTGTACAACTCAAGACTTAGGAAATTACAATGAGAGCCCGAGCACACCATGAAATAACATTAATTCGGCATATAAAGTTTCATTCATGGGACTTTGATAACATTTTGTTTTGATTTTTTCCTCTCTCACCCATCAAGGTTTGACTTCACATGATTTGTACACAGAAATTTGGCATAAAAAACAAGTTCATCCATTGACGTAAAAATTGTGATTAAACAGACGTTACAAAAACCACTGTAATCGCCAAGAAATTTATTGGGAAATGCTTATCGCCGGGGGGAAAGGACGACCCTAATCACACCGAAATGGGAAAAATACAAATGTTTTCGATGTCACCCATTATTTTTTTCTTAATATCAAATACAGGGTCGACATTTTACACTCTTTTATGAAAGATGTCGCGTTCTGTGAACTCCAAAATCACTATGACATCTTTCCAATTGACAAAAGGTCACGACAGAAACAATCTCGAACTCCGTAATTGCCCATATTACCAATTTGTACAATAATTTTCATGAAATGCTTCCACATTTTCTGGCAGAGGGACAATTTTTTCAATTACATTACACATTTGACATTCCAATAAAACACCCAATAAAACATCCATCGACAGATTCAACGAGGAGGAAAAGCGAAACAGAGAAAAAAAGGGGTTTCAAATGCTTCTCTTCATATATATATATCTGGATGAAATGATTTTGAATTGTAAATGAAATATAGAAATTTTGTCAGAATCACAGAAATGGAAAATGCCCAAGACAAATAAAAGGGATCAGCTTCGGAGTTCTTAACTCTCAAAAACCCCAAATGTCCAGTCACTCATCTCTCTTCTTCACTATTGATTTTGTCCTTCAGATATCCTTCCCATTCCGCCTTCGGCTCCTCCTCATGCTTATATGTGTACGTCTTCACCCTTCTCTCTTGCCTTTTATTTATACAAATGTAAAATTGTGTGTCAATCCCACATCCGAAAATTCCTTCCCTTGTCTCTTTCATCCTTGGCTGAATATTCAGAATTTCTACCATTTCCCATTCTCTCGGGAAAAATCTCATTTAATTTAATTCAAACCATACATATTTTAATATTTCCTCTGCAATTTTACAATATAATAAAATGGACAAAAGTCAGAAGCATAAATACCACGGCAAATTGGCGAAACATCATAGTTGCAACTTTATTGTGAAATTTCAAAAATTATTCAATATTTTTCCATAATATCACCGACATCAGCTATGTATGAAATTTATGAAAAAATCTCATAATTTCAACTCCCCCAAACGTGACAAAGCGTAATTTATCTACTTTTTCATTTATCCCATGCTGATTTTTTTTCTCATTTGACAATCATTGTAATATCCCAACATTCATTCGCTGAATTCATTTTTCGAATTTGCATTCCTGAATATCCCCGTTATCAAATATGAGCTTGTTACGCATTTTTCCAGCTGAAAGACTCTCCCAGTGATTAACACAAATGGAATTTAAAGCAGCGACACTAAAAAATGCCCAATATATATCGCCAGAGAGGCTCTGATTGAAATAGTTCAATGGCGAGGAGGGGTTGCAATGTGCAGTGCGGCCACACGGAATGGGGTGATGCATAGGAGCCAAACTCACCCACTGTGTGTAGCTCTAAGGGACAAAAAATGCACACACGCACAGGGACAGCGAAAAAAGGGAAAATAGAATGAAATCACTCAAATTGGTGTGCTGTAAATACACATAGGCACAGAGGAATTCAAACGAATTGTT